TTAGCTAATGGTGAGTCAGGCTTTGAAACTAAACCTTTACCAGCGAAGTCGTCACAAACTAATAAGTGTTTGAAGGATATTTTTTGAAGGGGTATTTTGAAAGTTTTGACAGAATGTAGTTTGTAAGTCGTTTCATATCGTAAACTCCTGAGTACTGACGTAAGTGGTGTTTGTCAATAATTCTTTCCATCTCCTCAGAAGTCTTTGCATTCCTGACTGTATAAATTCAACGATGGCATAATATTTCCTCTTACGTCGAATGTAACGTTGAAGAAATTCAATGAGTTCACTGTCTGGAACTTTAACGACAGAGGCTTGAACTTTTGACATAAATGTTTTCGCTGTTGAGTCCATAGAGTCTGAAGTTGCTGATATAATGATTTGGTCATAATATGAGTCATTTCCTAAACGTTCTGTTATGAGTATATGACGAATGAGGTTGAATGTCTTTCCTGACCCCATCTTTCCACAATAGAAATAAACGCCATTTGAACAGAATTCATAGTCCTTACTGAAAGGAAGAATAAGAGAACTGTTGAGCTTTTCACTGCTTTCATTCATGTCTTCATCTACTTCATGTATTAAATGCTTCATTTTATCTCCATTAAAAATGCAAGTCAGAAATATTCAGAATATAGCACCGAGTCTAACTGACAAGAGTATAAAGATATACTATGAACACGTTATGATGAAACCAACCAAAATTCAAGAAAGTCAGTATACTTATGAATATCCAAGACACTGGGTAGAGTATATAGGAGGTGAGAAAGCTATTGAAATCAGACAAGTTCGAAGTATTCCAGCAGGAAGAACAATATTATTGAAGAACTTTAATGTTTTGAGGTATAATGATGAAACAAAGAAGCAAGATAGTTTCCCTGTTGCTGTGTATGTGAACCTAGACACAGGAGATGACATGAAAGTTTTTAACACAAAGCTTCAAACGGTAGTGAGAGAACAACTGACTGCGGAAGGGCATCCATTACCTTCAGAAGTTACCATAGCATATAATTTTGAAACAAACTCAATAGATTTTAAAGTCGTCTCTGCAAAGAAGTCAGGTTTTACATTTAATGAAGCAGATGTATATTCGAATGAAAACTTCAAAGCTATTGCATGGTTAGATAATGACGATTGTTTTAAGAAAATATTTAAATTCAGTGACTCAAAGATGTCAATAAATGACCTTCGTGGAATGTTACCATCGACGTTTACAGTTGAAGGCTCAGCAGGATTGCTTACAAGATTGTCAATTGGTGGCGTTTGGTCTCGTGAGAACATTGTTATAAAATCCAGTATAAGTGAATTTGCTGAAGAATCTATATTATGTCTTTCAAACTACATGTATTCGCCACCGAAGCATTATAGTATAACAAACTTTGTCAGTAAGTTTAACATAAGACTTGTCGAACCTTCTTCAATGAAAGATGTTGTGCTACCTAAAGATGGAAAGGATGGACTCATTATTGAGATGATTTTAATAGCATATTAAATGAGCTTGTTCTTGAAGGTCATTCATGATGAAATAACTGTTGTAGAAGATGTTAGCAATTGTTCAGACATTTTGAAGCGTATAGATGATATAAGAAATAAGTTAGATAGACCGCAAAGCGGTGAGGGCGAAGCCCGTGAGAACGCTTATGTTTCATTGACTTTCTCCAGTAACGAGAACTTTTATGAGATAATATTGAAGAGAGATGATTTTAATATGGGGTAAATGGTAGCTTGGGCAGCTTTAGGCGCAATGGAACAAAAGCATTAGCATTTGGAGCAAAAGCACTTGGAGCTTATGACGCAGTAAATAAAATGAGTGGAGGAAGGGTTTCGAAGACATTAGATGCAAATAAAGGAAGATTGGAGGCTGGGTTGCAAAGAAGTTAAGATTAAATAAAATAGGGCTCATAAATAAAGCATCCAATTTGGTTGCGACTGAGTCAGAAAATGCTTTAGGAAAGGACGATGAGTTTGCAAAACACGCAAAAGACTTTAATGACCAGATGAAAGGTGAAACAATGCATTTAAATAGATTCGATGGAACTAAAGAAAATGTTTCTTCTCCACCAGTAGTTCTTCCGTATGGTCCCTATGGAATGTATGGAAACCCTTACGAAAGACCATTTGACCCATTGACTGGTGGAAGTAACTGGTATCATTACGGCCGAAGAAGAAAGACAGTCAAGTTGGAGACAGACGTGAAGAAAGCAACTAAAAAGAAACCAAGGAAGAGAGTTATAAAGCAATGAATTCAACAGGGTGAAAAAACAGGTGAAAAAAGAGGTGAGATCTCACCACTTCACCTAAATTTATTTTTGGGCTATGTTTTCATACGTGTGAGGGTGGTGATATCATTAATTTTTAAGTTTATTTTATTTTTACTGAAAATTTTTATTTGGATGTAAATGACGAAAACTATTGAGATAACAAACTACAACGGTCATGAGTTCAAGAATTTGTTCTTCGTTCCTCGTGAAAATACATTCTATCAGATACGAGGGAGAAAGGGTAAAGTTAGTTTGAGCGTTTATGAAGGAATGAAGAATGGAAAGTTTATACAAGCATACGATACAAACGGTAAACGTGTTTCATTAGCTTTGTCAAAACTTACTAACATTTATTTTGACAGTGATTTTGACCTATATGAAGAAGAAAGTGAGTCAGAAGATTATGAGCTGTTATGTGAAGCACAGCAATGGGAGGAGTTGCAATACTTTTGTAAGTGAGAACGTTTATTTTTTACATTAGTGAAGTCATTAGTGGTTGGCGGTTTGTATATATTTAAGGTTAAGTTAGTGTTGTCGTTTGTGTTGTAAAATATACGTTACTGGTTTTGTAAATATTTAAGGTTAAGTGGTGTACGGAGGCGCGCAGTGCCTCAGTACACGACTTAGCCATACTAACTTCTGGCCCGGCATGCTCTAATCGCGTCTTGGTGAAATGATTTTCTTTGAAGTATCTGCGTACTTCTCTATAAGATACATCAATTTGTTGTAATTTCAAACGTTTCCATTGTTTTGTTTGACCACAGGGAAAGGCCCAGTGGTCATGTATCACAGCAAGAGCTTTGATTTGGTCGTAGGGATTGACCCTACGATCTTTCTTGCCTTTAGGCAATGGGATATTCTGTAAGCTAAATTGATTTTGTAAAAAGATTTTGAAACATCTAAATATTTGAAATCATTTGATTGAAGGGTTGGGGCGATGGGAACATGGGTGCAAGCTTCTTCCCATGTCATTTTACCTTCTTCAATCTGATTGGAAATACCAATTAGGTAAATTCGATCGACATACCCTTTGTAAGGATTCATTCTAATGAAGTACGTTAACAATCAAAATATTCTATAAGTGTCTAGTATGGAATTCAAAAGAATAAAGAAAATGGTAACGTAAATAAACGTATTATGAAATAATTTATAATTAAAATGAAAAAAAAGAAAAAATAATAAGTAAAGTGACTGGAAATGAAAATGAAAATCAGTGTACAGTTTTATTTTTTTCTCGCTGTGAAACGTATTCGGTCTTTTTTTTAAAAATTAATTTTTTGTTAGAGATAAGAGCTAAAACTCGGTAAACAACTTCTTTATGTCTAGAAAATTCTATCTTGCCTTTTATTTTTTTTCGCTGTGAAACGTATTCGGTCATTTTTTTAAAAAATTAATTTTTTGTTAGAGATAAGAGCTAAAACTCGGTAAACAACTTCTTTATGTCTAGAAAATTCTATCTTGCCTTTTATTTTTTTCTCGCTGTGAACGTATTCGGTCTTTTTTTTAAAATTAATTTTTTGTTAGAGATAAGAGCTAAAACTTTGCAGACAACTCCCCATGTCTAGCAAATTTAACATTCGTCTCCCATTTTTATATATTTGGTTTAGAATGTTCGAAATGCGTAATATGGTCATTAATATTAATTGAAAAGAACCTTGAATTAATTCAATCTGATCTCACAAAATATTTTAAATTACAAACTTTGTAGTTTGAATAGATAATTAGTATTAAACTCAAATAACTAGTTTATTTTGGAATAAAAATTATTTGAATTTATTCAATTTTGTGAATTTTCCTTCAAAAATCAAGTTTAAATATCTTATTTGCCATATAATTATAAATACAATGAAACAAATTCGAAATTGAAAAGAATGACTTTTTCTGTTCTTTCAATCATTCAATTTGAATTTTGCAATATTGGATTTCTCATTAAATAGCTATTAAAAACAACAAGCAATTTAACTTACATTCAAATTTATTTGTGTTATATTCAATCTTCTCAAAACTTATAATTTTCGGCTATAGCATGATTATATGCTATATAATATAATAAACCTATAATAGTATCATTCTTTCAATTATTTGAAGAGAAAACCGAAAAAATCTATTTTCGGTCTATAACAAAAATTTTGAAGAAGAACACAAAATCTTCTGAAAAATAATATCACATAAACTCATATTATTTTCTAATATATAACTATTTTATATAAAAATCAAATTCAATGATCTTAAAAGCGAAGGATAAACCTCAAAATTTACGAATATAATGAGTGGGAATATAATGCTTATCTATCATAAAACCATATGAAATATCAATTTTTGCTTTACGCCTATTCCACTCATTATATTCGTAAATTTTGAGGTTTATCCTTCGCTTTTAAGATCATTGAATTTGATTTTTATATAAAATAGTTATATATTAGAAAATAATATGAGTTTATGTGATATTATTTTTCAGAAGATTTCATTCTATATGCCTATGAAAAGTACTCTCAAAACTAACTTTTCCTAATTATAATTAAATCTAGAATATTGTATTATGCTTAGTATTATTTCATTTTTCTCATTCAATTTAGAATTTACAAATGTCAAAAAATTGAGAGCTGTCACTTTTGATGAATTTCTGTTTATTACAAATCTAGTTAATAACAATATATAGAATGCTAACACTAAATTATCTCACAGTCCTTGTCGTAAATTATTAAAAGTACTTTTATTCTAAATAAAAGCGTTCAATCTCTAACAAAAATTAAAGAAATGAGCTTCTTGTCCGCCCAATAAAGATAACATGTCATTATTTTCTTTTTCAAACGTCTCTATTGTAATCTGATTGAAAAAGTCCCAATCTGGAGTTGGAGAAGATGGTTCCTTAGACAAAGGTTGCTGCGCAATCTTATTCCTTTTAGATTGTGATTTAGGATTCATTCTTCTGTCAAGTAATCTTTTGAGATATTCTACTGAATATCCACGTCTTTTAAGAATTAAAAAACGTGCTTTAATATTAACATCTGTTCTATTTTCAAAAAATTTAGAGATAAACACCCATTTGGGACCATAAATGTTATATTTTTCTAAGAGTAAGATATCTTCTTGAAATGAGAATTTAGAGCGATTCACTGTAGGAGATAAATAATTAACCCATCTATCTTTGCACTGGCGCGCATTTTTATTTCCCATTTGGTGAGCAACTGTTTTCCAATCAATCTCTTCTAACTTTCCTACTATTTCCTTCAAGTGCTCATCATCTTCTTGTGTGAATTTATCTTTTGTGTGATGTCGTGCAGACATGAATAAGGTAATGGAATAAATGAAAATATCCGCTATTTGAAAGAAACCGTTGAAGTTCGAGGACTTTTGAGAATTTGTCTGAAATTAACTATTCTGCTGACATATATGGTATTCGTATTTTTAAATCGAAATCACTGCTTAGCAACAATCTTTTATTCAATTCAATTTCATGAAAAACGTTTCAATGACATTTTAGACATTGCAGTATTTCGAAATGCAGGTAAAAATATGATAATTTTTTTGAATCTAACACAAATATAATTATCTACGATCAAATTCTGAGATCTCTTTCAAAATGCAACAGAAAAATTGCTCAATGATTGCTTCTAATAATTTTCAATTATATTGATAGTCGCATGACCCTATTGAATTCATACAAGCTGTATTATTGGAAAAAGCAACATCTTTTTGTTGATAATATTTATTCTCATTTTATAGATAACTCATGCTTCAAAATTATGATAACGTTGTGTTCTTGTCAGGTTTGGAATATCCTGATTTTAATTGTTTGTAACTTCAAATTAGTAAATATTATATAAAATTTAATATTTAAATAAATGAACTTAAATACCATCATTATGCCTATCACTTATAAATTACAGACAAAAAAAATTATAAATTAAAAATGATATAATCAGACCCTCAAGAATCTTGAAATCTATTTGGCCAATTCCTCAAAAGAATGTTTGTAAATGCTAAACGAATTATGTTGATTCCAAATATTTTTGGTTTAGATCAACATTCATTTTATCTAATTTTCTTACCAGCTATAGCCCTAATTATGGTCAATTGTATTTTCCACAATAAAAATCATGATACATTGAAATTAATTCAAAAAGATTGCATACAATTTGACAGTAGTAATAAACTGAATAAGTGATACCAATGCTTACATTTGTTTCTCAATTTAAGCGCAATAATTTAAAAAATTGTCAATAAATTACAATTTGGAGAATCTTTTCATTCATACATATGCTTAAATTTTATTAGGTATATCAAGTATGCATGACAATTCAAGATTTGTCTCTAATAAAAAAAAAATCAAAAACTTTTTTTCTCTCATTAAGTTAATGGTATATTTTGATGATATTCTCTTTTATTAAGCTCAGTTTAAACAATATTGTTAAATCCAAATAAAGTAAGTTCAAAATATATTTGAAAATTCATAAAAAGTTGATATGCTTTAGAAACTTATAGATATCAGGTTCATATAATCATTCATATTATGGATTCATTGAAAAAGTCATGAAATCGGCATTTTTATCTATCATACTTTGCTTTTGTTTGTCTCAATACTTTCCTAAAAAATATCAAAAAAATTGAACTTTTTTTACTTGTTTTTGACCTTGTAAAATGATCAAAATTAATTGGTTGTGAGATATGCATAAATGTTTTTTCGATCCTATGTGAATACATTGGGTTACCTGTATCAAATAGCATTAATGAATATTGATTGATTTGAAATTAAAAACAATGTAAAGCAAAAGAGTATTCAGCCATTCGATACATTCGATATATATTTTTTAGTTGCTGCCTTTGTTAAATGGCACTATTATCAGAGTACATATAAATATATATCGATATAATTGGGTCATTATTGATTTTGTAATTTAATCGTCGTCGTTATCGATTTTGTAATTTAATCGTTATCGTCTTTTTCTAAACGTGCATTTTTTGCTTTCGGAGCTATTGAACATACATTGGCCCTTACCAGCAATTGAAAACTATTTTTCATTATCAACAATTACATTACTCCGAGTTATTCATCAATCAATGAAAATCGATATATAGTCCATACTTCAATTTACAATATTGGCAAGTCCAATTTCACTTGGCATATTTAACTCATATAGAAAAACCAGTTGGAATCGGCAAAATTATCTTTAATTCCATACATAAGAAAAAAAAATTATAAAGTTCTTCAATAATAGCAAACTAATAGTTTAAATAGATTTACAAGTATCGCCCATCTACTTTTGATATAATTCACATATTAAATGTAGAAAACTGGTTTAAAATAAATATTTCAAAAGTTCGAAAACGATTTATGAAAAAATAACGTGATGACATTTACTAAATTTGCTCTGTATTAAAGTATCGATGATAGAAAGAGCATATTTTGTAAATATTTCAAAAATATTTAAAAGTCGGAGAAATTGTATTGTAATGTACTATAATTATGTTACAAATCCGATTCAATACTAATCCTTCGCTATTGAAGTTGTTTTGAGAAGGATATTCTCTAAATTCTTGATAAATCTTTAAAATCTAGAGTAATCGTTTTGTAAACTTAACAAAACTAAAATGTATACCAATAGATTGGCATTTTCTACGTTTTCAAAGTGAGAGAGTGTAAATTCTTTTTTTTATCCTATTAAGGTTTTTAAAAAATTTAATTAACTTAATTTATATGATCTGAAATATATGACAAGTTAATATGGAGAATTCTTTCAACCCAATTTCAATTTATTGAATTTTCTATTCGAATTCAAAAATTTTCCCAAGAAGAAAAAATAATTAGGAAATTTAATATGTTAATACATAAAATATTTTATTTATTCAAAGAATTCAATTTTCTATTGGATCAAAAAACTTGTGTTAAAGTTCGTATTTTAAGATAACTATACTTTTAGAAGCTGTTTTTATTTTTTTCACCGGGATTTTATTAATTTAATTCTTTCAAAATTTGAATCTTATTGTATATCACCGGACTATGATCATAATAAGGGTCAGGTAAGTGGGGCTTCCAGGCGCGTTGCGCCCTCTAGCCCCGAAGATGTTTAGTATAAATGAAGTTTTTATTCGGAAAATTGTTAGTCTTCTGGTGTGAATTCGGAGGACTCTTCTTGGATAGAGTCTTGTATTTCCTCCTCCTCTTCTTCCTCCATTGCTTCTGGGAAGAAGCCTTCTTCTGGGTCGAAAACATTATATAATGTGTCGCTTTTCACAAATTATATATGTTTTCATGTTTTGTCACTTTTCTGTCACTTTTCGGGTAAAAACATTTTTATTATATATATAATGAATTTTACAAAACCACCGTTACCGTTCTTTGGAAATAAGAGTAGATGTAAAGATATTATATTGAGAGAACTTAAGAAACTACCGAATGGTCTAACATTTGTAGATTTGTTCGGTGGAAGTTTCTATATATCCCATTTATGTCATACAATATTCCAGACTCAAAGATTATATGCAATGATTTCGACAACTATATGGACCGTCTCAAACATATACCAGACACAAACAATATATTGAAAGAGTTAAAAGAAAAGATACCTATAGGTAAGATGGAACGTATACCATTAGATAAGAAAAATATTGTGAGAGAGGTTTTGAAAAAAGCAGAATATATAGACTGGGATAGTATATCTGCTAGACTATTATATAGTGGTTCTATAAGAGTTCATGACATTGAAACACTTATGTCAAACGTTTTATATCTTAACTATACAAATGTTTTCAAAGAGGACATAGAAAAATATATTGAGGGTATAGAGTTTGTGAGATGTCATTGGACAGAGTTGTATGAAAAATATAAAGACAAGGAAAATGTTTTCTTTATAGTGGACCCGCCGTTCTATAACACATGGGATTTTCAATACCAAGTAGACTGGACTTTGAGAGACTCTTTAGAAACTTTAGACGTTATACATAACCATCCATGCTTTTACTTTACATCCGATAAAAGTGGTTTGGAAACCGTTATGAGATGGTTAGAGGACATACATGACTATGAGTTTATATATGACAAGATAGAATATGAGAGAGGTCCTATAAACCGGAGAAAGTGTCACAATAAAGAAATTTTATTAGTAAGTAAATGTGGTTTGAAATCGGATTGTTAGTTTTAGGTTTTTTCCATTGTGTCATTTATTTATTTGACGTGGCAGAAAAGTACAGAGAATATGAAGATGAACCAATGCCTGCAAATGTTCAGTATATGTACTCGTAAGAGATATTTTTATCTAATATTAAATGGACGCACAGAACTTAGCGAATGCACAGCAACCTGGACAACCAAACCCAGAGAATATTCCAAATGAAGTTAGAATACAAACTGCAATGGCAAACTATGGTCAAGTGCCAACAGATGTACAAATGCAAACTGCCATGTCAAATGACGCTGCGTTAGGTTTGCCACCATGGTATGCAAATATGAGATGGAAAGAGTTTTATACAAACCCTGAAGTGGGATATAAACAACTTTATGCAGATGACGCGAACACAGGAGTTGACCCAGAATATGTTTTCTACCAGAGGAGAAACAGAATGTATGAGCTCCAGTTAAAGAATGCTATGGAACTCAACAGGAAACGCAAAAGACTAGGCGGACATTAGATTTTTACATATAGTAAAATGGGTTTCTTCAGTAAGATAGGAAACTTCTTTCGAAATGTTGGAAGAGGTATATGGAATGGCGTCAAAACCGTAGGAAAAGGAATTTGGAACGGAGTCAAAAATCTTGGTAAAAGAGTAGGTCAGTTTGTTGGTATTATACCTAAAGACCCTGAACCAGAAGAACAAGCTCCTGTTATACAACAGCCTGAACCTGCACCACAGTCTAGTTGGCAACCAAATCCAACACCTCAACCGTATTAAAAAATTATATTTTTACCGTTCGATAGTAGTTGTATATGAAACTAAGTTCTAAGTAAAACGCATGGTATAATGGAATTATTCTTTTTCTTCCATCTGTAGTAAACCATACTTGAAAGTCTGAAATACTTCCACTTGGTGGTTCGTATAACTTTGTAGGTTTTTCGTAAAAGTCATTTGCCAAGCATAAGAAAGAGTTTTGGGCGCCAGAAAATGAAGCATGAACAATAATAGCATCTTGGTCGAAAATATTTTCATATGTTCCATTAGGGTTTTCGACTTCATAATAGTCCGGGTGTACTGGATATGCTGCAGGCTGATTTAACATCCTCATAAATCTATACCATGCCAAGTTGTTATATTTTGTAGAAATATAAACGTTTTCTCCAAGGTCTTCTATT